AAATAGATCCCTCGGTAAGTTTGGGGTATTTTTAATCTTTACAACTGCAACTGGGAACATACTTGCTATCCGCTCAAATGCCCTACCCTTTTTGAACCCCAGCAATGTTGGAGTAATTAATTCTCTTCTTCACTCTGCTTATTTCTCATGGCCCTTCTCACCGGCCAGCTGTCTCCTAGGGCAGCTGTCTCAGCTACTAAGAAGAAGAAACATAACCATTGGCTTCGGATGATCTGACAGCATAAAACGCCACTGCAGATACATAATGAATGGGAGTTCATCGCAGGTCAGTCCCAGTGCAGTAACAGATCTGCTACACTCTTGAGCAGGTTTCTCAGAAGTAAGTCTGCAGCAAGTGTAGCTCCATGTCACTTCACTGCCTCCTGTTGATGCTAGAAGGCCTGAACCTCTCAAAAAAAATATTCTCACCAATGCCTGACCAGGCAGATGAGATAAAAACACTGCCCAGAACATCACTGTCAGCATCACCTGTGTGATGCAGTTTGCAGAAGTGCAACCAAATCCACACCATCTCTCCTGCTCTCAATTAAAAACTCATCCTTTTCATCCCCTACCAGCCAGCGGGGAACGATGCAAACATCTTGCACCCATATCAGAGAAAATCTTTTCTTAAAACAGCAGTTTCCATGGAAGCAGGCAGGCAACAGCCTCTCCCTTTTTCTAGAGGCATGGATCTCATGCTCGCTTAGATTACAAAACTTCTTCCCACAAGAGATGTGAACTTCCTCTGGCGACCCACTGCAGCTGCAACCCAGCCATGCAGTACAGCCACTCATCTTCATCTACGTTGGCAAGCTCACTGCAAAACACCTGACAGCAAGCAATGGATATGCAGAGCCAGGCTGCACACCAAGTGGCTATCAGGTTGAGTGAGTGAGTCAGTCAGTATTATCTTTGCTGCTACATTGCCAAGATCCGGCTTCAGAGCCAGATGAACCAAGGCTGGGAACAGCAGCTGCCCATTCTGCAGCATATCTGTATTTTATTTGCAGGGAACTGTTTCCTTTTGCTTCACGCCAGCTCACTTGAAAACCCCAGCCAAGCCTGTGCTTTAGAAACTAACAAATGAAACTAACAGGGAAGGCAAGGGTGAGAACATGCCAGCAGTCCCACCCATGCTTGTCCCCCTCTCACCCTTTCACAAGGAAATATTTTTCTCTAGAATAACATCTGGCAACCACAGTTGGCAGCAGAAAGCTGTTTCACTGGCAAAGGCAGCAGCTCTGAGATGGTGGCATATATAAAGGAAAATAACTCTTCAGAGTTATCTTATCTTCAGAAGAGATCAGAACTAGCAATGCTCAGATTAATTACCACGTTGCAGCACAAAAAGGCCCAGGGCAGCGGGGAAGGATGGATGCTGGTGGCACCTTATGTGCTGAATAGACTTGTAAATTCCCCAATGAGAAGACACGCCGTGAATGCAACATTCGTGGAAGGTGACAGATTTACAGCTCCCAGAGGCTTCATTTAGCCACAGAACAGTAACAGCAGCAGCAAGGCAGGCTCCCACAGCCACACACACCTGCACAACCCAAAACAGGTACCTCAGCCCAGATCCAGGACATGCCCTGCAGTAACAGACTCTGCGCTTGGCTTTTTGCCTACCCCTGCTAACATAAGGGCCGTACGTAGAGGAACACGCACCCCGCAGGTTTGCCAACAATGACCCTGGTTCATATCACTGATAGCCAGGGGATGGTAAACAAGGCTTACGGTCCTTGGGCCGGCTCCTTGGCCCAGTTCCCCTCTTGCTCCAGAGGATTTCAGGAACCTTTCCCCCTTCCCCTCAAAGTACGTCCCCTGCGAAAAAAAAGCCACTACGGGTATTTCCACGTATCACCATATAGCAGGTGTGGGGCCCTAGCAAGGGATGCTAACTTGTCCCTCCTTCTGACCTGAGAGCTCCTAAACCCAGACTGAGCTGCATCTTGTTCTGGGTGAGGACTGGGCAGACGCACAGCTGAGACTGTACTTGCACTCAGATAACAGACAGTCTGAAATTCCCCTCAAGACTGCAGGTCCTGCTCCACTGAGCACTGGGCTTCGCTGCTGGGAGAAGAGGATCTGGCTGTTTCCAGAAAGCTGGCAAGGAACAGCTGCAGGTTTACAAAGCACGGTGATTCACGCAGGGATGGCAGGCCATGAATCAGAGAGCAATTGGGGCTGTCTCCTGTTTGATCTATCCTTCATAGCCAAGAGCAGAGCTGATGGCACTGGCACGCTTAATGACTCATCCAGAGAGCTATTTAGGGAAAGGCAGCTCTCTCCAGACCCTCTTTTTGGAAGTCATGTGTTTGTGCTCCTTGGCTCACACAGGGTGGCCTGCCACCTCCAGTCGCCTGCAAAGACAGGGTCAGGCTTTAGGGAGCTATGATGGTCTTCAGGGAAAGCACATGAGGGCAGAGATGCCCGTGGAGCCCAGGCAGTGGAGAGGTGAGCCACAATCTGCTTTTCAGGCTAAGGGTGACTTCAGGCTCTGAGCCTCATGGTCCCAAAAAGCACAGAGGTGTTGATCTGTGCCATAGCACTGGGATGAACATGGGGGTTCTCATCCTGAATTCACTTATGTGACCAGGGTCTTTCGGCTTCAAGTCATCTTTATAATAGACCCTCAGAAGTGACACAAATCACTCTTGAAACCAGACAAGAACAAGCAACATTAATTAGCATACTCAGTTACATTCTATCTTAAAATACTGAGGCAAAGGTCTATTCTGAATCACATTAATAATTACAAACAAGCTTTCTAGTGGACAGAAGATGGCAAGCTATGCCACAGGGGTGCATTTACAAATGCATAAAACCATATTAATTAGACATGAGCTTCATAATGGGAAGCGCTTTGCTAGCTGAAAAAGTGGTTAGAAGACCAAAAGCACTTCCATAATGAACTTCATTTGGTCCAGTCCAACAGACAGTAGCTTCATCAGTAAGTTAAGTTTAAGCAAGAAATCATGGGATATAGGTTGTGAAGTTTAGTCATACAATGAAGAGATGTATTTTTATGTAATTCACCAGGAATCAACAGCAGGTTCCCACTGTGCCTACACACACTGAAATGTAAGTGATAAGGAGAAATAAAGCTCTAACTAAAACAAAATACACAAAGATGGGAGGAAAAAGCAAGGACAAAGTCAGTGCGACTGAACCTGTACATGAAAGGCGGGGAGGAGCAACAGCTTGAAGATTAATTCAAGAATCCAGGTAGTTGAACAGCTTGAATCCCATTCTCTGCTCTGACACAGACTTTCTGCATGGCCTTCGGCAAGTCCCTTAGTCTGTCCCTGGCCTCTGCTCTTCCTCCCCAGTGCAGGACCCTCATCTTTCTTTAAACCCAGTGATGTTGTAAGGATCTGCATGGAGAACCCCTGCTGACAGAGGAATGCCAGCTGTGAGGCATGACAGGCTCCAGGTCTGGCATATTGGCAAAAGCCCTACAGCAACACAATTTTACTGCCTCAAAAATGCTTTTGCCACTATAGGCTACTTTGGCCAGTGAACTGGAACAACCTCTTTTGGGGTTAGTAAAATCCGTATTTGTAATGAGAAGACTGTCTGGTAAAGCAATTTTGGCAACCATTTACAAAGCATGCTGGCTCAAATACATCAAAGACTGCAAGATACTATTAATGAAGTACAAGAGAATGGAGTAATAGTGAAGCATCTACATGCAGAGCAAGAAGGAAAGGATGACCCACCTACATAAACATCTCAAAAAAAGAAGAAAGGAAAAAAAAAAAAAAAAGAGAGTGAGCTCATCCTGCCCTCCCTGACTGCAAGCCACAACCTCCCAGCTGGGTAAGAACACACAGTCCATGACTGCCAGGCAAGGTAGGGGTCACTTCAAAAGTGAAACCATTCCATGTCCTGATTTTCTTGGGCTCTCATCCTACTGAGACTGAACCCTTAGGACAAACCAG